CAACAGAAATCAATAATAATAATAATAATAATAATAATAATAATAATTGTGCTCACAAGTACAGCTTACACTTTGCGAAGATCTTTATCTATTTAACATTTTTGTTTCTTAGGAAAATCATCAGCCATTTCTGACCTTAGGTCTCTGGTTGGGACCCGGAAAGAAATGTGTATACAGCAGAAATCAAATAAAATAGCAACAACAACAATATCAATAATGATAACAAAAATAATTCTAATAATAACATCAATAATAATAATAATAATAATAATAATAATAATAATAATAATAATCCATTAAGAAATTACCTGTAAAATCGCGAAAATAATCCTTATTAGAAATACAAAATATGTTATTGAGTATTGCTTACGTACGTAGAAAACTCTTTCTATAACTCGCTTATATAAAAAAAATGTATTTACCTGAGGCCTCAGATGAAAGACTTTGTAAATGATTGTAGCAAACAGCAAAGCAAAAGGAAACAAGCAACAACAATAAGAAATAATCAATGCAGAAATCATAGAACATATTTATTAGGCATATGTAAAAGTTCTTAGAACAAACAGTTGTTTTTTTTATTATTTTAACAAAGCAGTATAACCACAGAGCAAAACGGTATTCGCCCGAACTTTCTATTTTCTTGTATGCCTGACAGAAAACATTCTGCTTTGAGGCGCTCTATTGACATTATGTTTTTACTTCCTACACGATGTTTGTAATACAACTCGTTCACGCATTCTTATTGTCTGCTAACGTCGCAACGAAGAGCATATGATTCTTTTAGTACATAACACAACATTGAACTTAACCGCTTCTTTCTCTGATTAATGATGCAATAATGTCACCGAATCTCGTGTAAAATTGATAATATCGCTTTAGTTAGATACATATTCGCCTTTATTATTATTATTATTATTATTATTAATAATAATAATATTATTAAATAAAACACCTTCCTTGTATTATTTTGACGTTTGAATATTCGCCGACAATGAAGCAGACAGTACCAGTTGGAAAATAATGAGCTTTAGATCTAGTTAAAACCTGTATCTCTCAGCGTGACCCTTCGGTGGCAGGGTACTTACTCGGTCTGGGTTGCTAGCGAATCCGATTTAAAGACCTGCTCGACACATGGAAACCGCATCTATTTCATAATGCAAATGACCTGAGGGAAGTTTGTTTAAAGTTTCTTGCAGAGAGCGAATAATCTCGCGTGAACAAAATTTTGATGGAGGCCAGTGAGTTTTGGTTACGATGACTCGTAATTTCGTACTGGCATAACCATTGATGGCCCCAGAATGCTTTTGTCTACCTATTTTCACCCGAAATGTTTGGGTCAACACGTGGTACGGTTTTCAGGTACTTTCCAAAGTGTCATTAGCTGGGATCACTTCCCTAGATTGATAACATCATGAAACCACCTCGCTAAAATACAACCATCCGGGTCTTATGGCCTGAAAGCTAACGGCCTAACGGTTGTTACATAAATTCGTTCGTTTTATCAACTGTTTCAATTTCTGGTGAGGATGTAAACAAAGAAGAAACTTATGCGCAACATCAGAAAGAGACAGCCGAAATTTCCGGGATATGTAATGAGAAAGGAAGGCTTGGAAAATCTGATACTCACAGGACGGATAGAGGGAAAACCACGCGTGGCATACTTTAACGGCTTAAAGCAAGTGGCTAGCAGAACACGGTTTGGGAGAAATAGCAAAAAGATAAAATTTATTAAGAGCTACATGGATGAGGAAGATGTGGAGGGCCATGATCACCTACATCCTGAAGAGACATGGCACATTAAAGAAGAATTATTTATTAACAGTCCTGATTTATCATTCAACAGTATATTCGCTTTCATTGTTTACAGTCTTGTCAACAATCTACTAACTATTCAATTCCTCGACGATAGAACTCACTAGCTTTTGATTCTAAAAATGCACGTTTTAAGCTCCACATCGTTGTTGAATGAAACACCCTCCAAATTGTCAGAAAGCGACCGAATAAAGGTGATAGACTGAAGGAGCCAAATCAGGAGAATATAGTGGGCGTGACAGAACTTCTCATTGTTGAATAATCATACAGTATAATCGGTCAGGTATTTTAAACAGAATTCTCTTGTTTAGCCTGTTCATATTTTCAACATAAAGTTTAGCATTGACTGATTGTTCTGAAGCATTCAACCTCAGGATACAACACACGTGGCTCGACCAGATTTGTGGCCTTGATTAAAAGCAAAGAGAAGTTGCTGTTCAACATGCTTATTCAAAATGGCGTCTAATCTGAAATGAAATTTCAACAACGTGAGACAAGTTTCACGGAATGCCCAGAGTTAATAAGAAGCAAACACAAAAATGCTTCGATCATTCGCAGAACATGCGAAAAACGATCAAATACATCTAACAACATAACACAAACCAATATATTAAAAAGAAAGGGTGTTTCATTAAGACGGATCAAAGTCAGCAGTAAATAAATCAGGGTTATTGGTGAAAATTTATTTATTTCTCTATTAGATCATGTTGTTTAACTCATGGCAATTATGTGTGAACAATAACATCGCCCAAATGTCGACCAAGCTTCAGCAGTACATCTCCACTCGATGGTCAAGATTTTTGATGATGTCTCTGCATAGTTGCTCCTCGATCTCACCACTATGCCTTATCATCTCACCCTTCAGCTGCTGAATTGTTGTTGGCTTGGTGGCATAGTCCTTAATTTTGAGATGACCCCAAAGGAAGAAATCTAAAGGCGCCAAAGCCCCACGATCGTGGTAGTCATTTGACGTCGCTGTTTCGAGAGATGATGCGACCTGGGAACTTCTCAGTCAAATTCTGTTTGAACGTCCATTTTCATAATTGGCTTCGATAATTTTAACACGTTGTTTGATCATTAATCTTTCCATATTTAAAATTGCCAAAGACTTAATTAGATAAATCTAAAAGAAAAAAAAGTCATTAGACACTTAATCTTAATTCACATTTAAAATCACGTTTAAATAACATTAAATTTAAAAAAATATTACTATATAAATATAATTGAGACAAATATTTGTCAGTAAAAAAATTGCATGCTTATATTATGAATGACATTATTTCATACATCAATTGGGAATATTTTAATTTCAGCATTTGGAATGTACACAATCAACGTAGACCATTATGAAAACCTATTATTAATATTCCAATTTATCTGGATATTTATTTTTAATTTTCAAAGAAAGTTTTTTTAATGGTATTACCCTAGTAAAATTATCGCCACAATGTGTTGTTTTTTGTAGATATGCTGACATATTCCCAAACAAAACAATCTTCAAGAATTTAAATGCAATGTCATACGACGTCTTCTATCTTCTTGAACACTGTTCAGCTTTTATCGTTTCCTCTCACCTATATCCGGTCTATTCTTTTATCTTTACTCTCTGTAACACTCTTCCTACCAGCTGTAGTCCAGCTTTGCATGGGGCGAAATGATTTTAAAAAAGAACATGCGTTCGTGTTCATCTATCTGAGTTTCGACCTGTGTAAGACTAAAGATACGAACAACGATTGGAGGCCTTTTGGTGATCTCTTGTTTTCCGCTGCCTTTGAAGAATCAGCGCTTTTGAAACGAAAATGACAGCGCAGTAACATCGGAATGGTTGAACCGATTAAAAATCGACGTCATTTAACCCAGAAAGAATGCACGATTTGATTACACAATTACAAAGTGGCAAAAATTGAGAAAATTCGAATATCATTTATTAAACGAATTGTTCAATAAATAATATTCTAATTGTCCCAATATATATATATATATATATATATATATATATATATATATATATATATATATATATATATATTAGCAACTAAATTATATGTGATGTCATTCAGTTAGCAGTATGTATTATTTTAATATATATATATATATATATATATACGTTAAAACAGACAACATAGTGTAGATGTTGATAGAGGGAAGCGTACATGAAAAGTCTCTCTCTCTCTCTCCTCTCTCTCTCTCTCTCTCTATATATATATATATATATATATATATAAAGAGAACATAGAAGTCAACACTTAGGGCGACAGTCTGTTTCATGCTATATGCAATCGTCAGGCCACCAAGTCAAGTGTTGACTTCTATGTTCACTTTTATATTTACACACACTCTATCTCTGATATTGAGCACTTTATCCCATAAATATAGCACACCTTAAGACTCTATTTCTTCATATATATATATATATATATATATATATATATATATATATATATATATGAGATTGGCAACTAAATTATGTGATGTCATTCCGTTAGCAGTATGTATTACTTACCAATATATATATATATATATATATATATATATATATATATATATATATATATATATATATGTATGTATATACACGTTAAAACAGACAACGTAGTGTAAATGTTGATAGAGGAACCGTACATGAAAATTCTTTTCTCTCTCTCTCTCTATATATATATATATATATATATATATATATATATATATAATGTATATACTCAAATATGGGTATACATAGAAATTAGCATTAAAGTTTCATGTATTTAGGTAGAGAATATTAAATCTATGATATGTGTGTGTGTGTGTGTCTATTCATACTCATGCAAATATTCTCATACACATAAACGTATTTACTTTTGTAATTCAAATTATGCCCATACATATTTATCTGTTTGTAGACTTTGTAAATGCTGTATTATTAAGCACGTCATGTTCCTATTTCCTGCTGATGCAGCCTCTAGACAATCTAAAAATTGTTTTAAGTCTCAGGGCTTTATCATTTGCAATATAAAATGATCTTCCTAAATCATTGGCTATTAAAGAACATCTGCAATTGATTTCCATATGAAAACGCCCAAAAAAGTTCTTGCAGTTTCTTCGGATTCATTATAATTTGTTATCACTTTAATGATAGGAAAAACCCCTTTCGCTGAAATGGATTCAAAAGGAGAACTGGATTTAGTTCAAATTATACAGGGAAAAACGACATGGCAAATATAAAAGAATATCTATCAACGTATCAACCTAATTACCGATCTATCTGTTAGACTGAATGATCAATTAGTTTTTTTATATTTCGTTACATTTTTATCTCTAAATGTTTCATCTCTGTAATCTTTCTAGTTGGTAAGATCTCTCTCTCTCTTTCTCTATATATATATATATATATATATATATATATATATATATATATATATATATATGTGTGTGTGTGTGTGAAAAGTGTATATAAATATAAATAAGTATATATATGTATAATTATTTATATATTATATACATAATATTATTAGAAAGCGCTCAATATCAGAGATAGAGCTAACATATTTGTTGGATGGATGTGAGTTTGTGACCCTGGGTTTCACGCTTTAGCGAGCGTCAGACACTCTGACCCAGGGTCACAAACTCACATCTATCAACCAAATATATATATATATATATATATATATATATATATATATATATATATATATATATATATATATATATATATATATATATATATATATATATATATATATATATATATATATATATATATATATATACATGCCTATATATATATATATATATATATATATATATATATACCTTGTGGTCTAAATATTTCGTCTGCTTAGAAAGATAGATAAGAGTTATCTAATTTTGATATTATCTATCTAATCGTGATATTATGTATTTATCTACTATATATATATATATATATATATATATATATATATATAAATTTCAGTCATATCTATCTTATCTATCACATCCAGTTTCTAGCCATCTATCTATCTGTCACATCCTGTTTCTATCTCTCATCTTGTTTCTATCTCTCTCTCACACATCTTTTTTCTCTCTCTCTCTCTCACATCTTTTTCTCTCTCTCTCACATCTTTTTTTTCTCCCTCTCTCTCACGTCTTTTTTCTCTCTCTCACACACACCTTTTTTCTCTCTCTCTCTCTCATACACATCTTTTTTCTCTCTCTTTCTCACACACGTTATTTCTCTCTTTCTCACACACGTTTTCTCTCTCTCACACAGATCTTGTTTTTCTCTCTCTCACCCTCCCTATCGCATCCTGTATCTATCGAACTATTGCATCTTTTTCTATCACATCCTTATTCTATCTATGTGAATTACAAACTTTTAAAAAGTACTTCGCATAAGATAAAATAAGTGTTTTGCATTACCAAGAGGTGAATTATTTTTTGATATTTTATAAGTAGATTGCAATTATACAGCTTCTCTCCTTTTATCTACAAGCTAAAATAATCTAAGACGTAAATTAATGATGACGTTTTGCTTGTCAAGTCTAAAGTAAAGGGAAATTGTATTTACGCTACGTCAGCAGAAGCTTTGAATACAGATATATGGCTAATTATTCATCTGTAATCATATATAATGTGCTTATCTGGTGACGGATGACAAAGTTCCACACAGTATCTATCAATTTATCTATCTATCTATCTACCTATCTACTCATATAGAGTGATGGAAAAGTAGGTATACAGTAATGAAAAGTAAAAAAAAAAACTCAAAAGTTATTGTTTTGTTTATACAAACATCAATAATATATACAATCCCTGTCTTTATTTCTGAGACGAAATATTGTAATTATTTACACGATTTACATTGTTCGGACTGTTGTCCTAATTTTCGTTGCTACATTCACGACGTTTCAGTCAATGAACGCTCCGGTCTTCTTCAGTTGATTGGAATTTCGAAATGAGCCCTTTATTTCGTCCACCGGGGTAGATTGTGCTAGTTCCACGTGCCATGTCTCTTACAGATGTCTCAGTATTACGTATCTCTCTTTAACTCAACTCTCCAAGTTTTTTGGAGTTTTTTGGGGTTTTTTGGGTTGTTTTTTTTCACCTCAGTCTTAGCCAGGTATTGAACTCACAACTCTTTGGGTTAAGTCACTGAATTAAAACAACGCTTTTATCCAAGGACAGGTGGCCCAAGAGTATAATGTTCACCTTGTACAAAGCCCAAAAGCCACTCAAGGTTGATGGTTAAAAAGTAAGAGGTAAGGGGCATAGTTTATGTGGATATGTGGGGAAGATAACGGTTAACCCCAGGTTAAAATCGTAATGACAAGGGAAGCATCATCTTAGTTCCATAAAGTAGTGGTTCGTAGGAATATGCTGTTTAAGTGGAACTTACTTTTCACTAGTTGAGTAGGAAGGGGATGAGCGGAATTCGCTACAATGAGGATGACATAGAGGCTCTTAACCGCGAAGGTTAGAACTAATACATATATATGAGGCCTCGCACTAAAACACACACCCATACAAATATACACATTTACACACATCATACTCACTCACTCACTCACTCCCTAATGAGCCAAATAACGCACACACTTAACAGAGACACGTCCCCTTTCCAGGAACCAATAAAACTGTCAAAATGACCAAGGGAATTCAGAACAGCATGAATCCATCCAGCTCATATGCTAAATAACAACTTAAAAGAGACTGTTTGAACAACACAAGGTCTGACCAAAATTCATGTTAAAAAAATTAAAAAAAAAAACAAATGAAAACTACAGACAAAAGTTCATTTTCTCCATCAAGTCATTCATTTCTGTAGTTCACTGCTACTAACAAGCAGAATTTGTTTCTCCTGATGATGGTTATGTTGGCCGAAACTAGTCGAGGAATCTTACTGAAATAATAAAAACAAAAGAATATTAATATACAACCCAGTGTGTCTGAAGATTATAATTTTTTTAATATTTTTTAATGTTCAATATATATATAGATAGATAGATAATATTAGAGGTCAATATATATATATATATATATATATATATATATATATATATATATATATATATATATATAATTCAGAAGAGGATAGAATCCAGGTAGAACTCCATGTGCAAGACAGAGTAGTGATATTACTTCCTTTGTCAAATTTTCTTGATTACACATCGGTTCTCTTATAAATGCCCTTCGCTTTTAAATTGCACCTCCCCACTTCTCTCTCTCTCTCTCTCTCATCTTCTGGATTTTAAGTTTGAATCATATCGTTTTTTTTATTGTGCTTAGTGTCACCACAAATGCATACACACGGTGTCTGCTTTTTTTAAAATTTTGGTCAGCGAATCGGTGGCAAATTATGCATCGAAAAATAATTAATATTTATCTATATCTCACTCATTTAAACCGTTATTTAACTTTAAAACTTCTCTCTGTTAAATTTTAATCCCCACCTTCACCTTTAGGCCTTCTTGTTCTTCTTTCATCTGTTACCCCCTCTCTCGAAAGCTTTCATACATTTCCCTCTCACACTTGTTTCCCCACCCCTACACATACACTCTAATTAATTTTTTTGTTTTTTATACCCGGACATACATTTTCTGATTTATTTTTGAATTTATAGGTCTGATGAATTGGTTCGTGATTACGATTCCAATGTAATAAATTATAACCGTGGAATATTAGTGTTTGAGCCTTTTATATTACACACACACACACACACACACACACACACACACACACACACACACACACACACATAAATATATATATATATATATATATATATATATATATATATATATATATATATATATATATATATATATATATATATATATGTGTGTGTGTGTGAAAAATATATAGAAAATAGGAAAGTTTGTGTTTTGAAACATGAGAAATCTTATGTAGCGTGTTGGAATCATATTTTAAATAAAAATAATATATATATATATATATATATATATATATATATATATATATATATATATATATATAACGATATTGAAACATGTTAAAAATCGCTACGCAATTACAATTATATTTAGACAGCATAAACAAATAAAGTTTGTGTTTTGAGACATGAGAACTCTTATGTAGCATGTTGGAATCATATTTTTTAAATAATTATATATATATATATATATATATATATATATATATATATATAAGGATATTAAAACATGTTAAAAATCGCTACGCAATTACAATTATATTTAAACAGCATAAATGTGCCTCCTCATGCAATGTTAAATTAATAGCGAGTAAAAGATTAATTTCAAAACAGAATACTTTTTAAAAAATAGACTTTTGGCCTTTGCCGTGATTAACCAATCAAATGTGACCTACGGTAAATTCATATTCACCGGAATTTTAAAAAAATCTAGGCCATGGCATGAAGTTGTCTGCATAACAATATAATATGTAGCTGTATGTATAAAGTCTTCTTTTAAATTAGATGTTACGTACAGTGGAATTCTCCTCTATTTGTTCTCATTTCATTTATTTTTATAGTCTTTCTGTGCTATAGTCGACCGAAATACATGGTGACAGAATTAGTAACACGGTGTAAAAGTAATAATAATATTGAATGGTTTTGTTTTGCTTTTTACAATCTTTAATCAAGTATTCACTTGACATTCTCCAACGTACAGAGACCATTCAAGAAACTGTTGGTTGATTGCGAATCACTGATGCGACGAGCAGGAAAGATGAGATCGCGATAATGCTTAAAAAGGAAAAACGAAAGAACCATTTTTGGAGCAGTCTCTTGGAGAATAAAGATTAATTACTGAATAGTGCGTCGCGAAGGGCCAAGTTTATTTTTATGATGCGTTTTAGTTATCTTTTCTTCGGTTTTTTTTTGTCCTGAGTAGTCATTTTATTTGAGGCAATGTCTCCGGTTCACTTTGACCAGAGAAAATTTCTGTTATACACTAAGAGCACCACTTGGGAAATTACTTAGAAAAGAATCGTTCTTATATTTTACCTTTTTTTGCATCTTTAGTTATTTCTTTCTTGCTTTCTTTCTTTTTTGACGGCGTCTATTTCTGTAATAATTTCCTCTGGTTTTTGTTACAGCGGCCTCACTTATCCGCGGCATCGGTCAACTGCGGTCAACATCAGTAGCATTGACTGATAAATAGAGAGAAATGATCAATACACTAAATATAAAATACCTTTAAATTGTCATAAATCGATAACTTTGGATAGCCAGGTAAATTTGAAGAAATAGGTAACTGATTGATTTTATTTTGACTGCTTATCAAGCATTTTTCGGTTATTTAAAACTGTAATATATTTTCGGTTCTAAGAATAATAATTTTTTTCCGAGTGAATATTGCATTATCAGTTTTTTTCAGTATAACAACGATTTATTCAGATACAAGTACTACTATTAACTAATAGATAGTTTGAGATGTGTATATCCCTTTCTTTTGGGCGCGTGAGTGAATATATCGCTGATGACTGGAATTCGAACTCTACATCTTTGATTTCGCATTCAGAGGTGTTAACCATGGCATCAACCCCTCATAAGTAAATATATAAAAAAAAAAACCCAAAAAACACTGAACTTTTAATTAATAAAAGAGAATACTAAAATCTTCATGCGGTCAATTCAGATTTAGCAAAGAGAAAAGCAGTAAATTATTTTCTTCAGTTGAAAAGATGAATTTTCCCGATTTTGAGAGAGAGAGAGAGAGAGAGAGAGAGAGAGAGAGAGAGAAAGAAAGAAAGAGAGAAATTAAGCGAGAGAGAGAAAGAAAGAGAGAGAGAGAAAGAAAAACAAGTTTAGTAAGGTTGATAAATTCTACAGTAGGACTGAATCTTCTTTGCCAACGTTGCTAACAAATTAGCATTCTTATATATTAAACTCAATGCATGTCTAGACACACACACACACACACACACACACACACACACACACACACACACACACACACACACACACACACACACACACACACACACACAGTGGCTGTTACGGAAAAAATTGTCCAAATCGTGTTACAACATAAATATCCATCCCACAAAATGTTTAATATCTAAAAAAAACACACTAAAATAAATTGTTTCTTTTTTTCTAGATTTTCAGATAAGACATTTAGTAATTTTGATAGCATTTGTAATGAGAATTAATGAAAAACCTTTTGAATTATTCACCTAGAAAGAGACCAGATTAAAATCGTTTGGTGTCAACCCCACTGTCTTATCACCTGAGAAATGGTGAGAGGAAAAAGATCATTCAGGCCTTCAGTAATGGTACTAACATTCATACTTTGGCTTCTATCTTCAAAGTCCATTAAAGAACCATCAAGAAAACGGTGAATAATTTGAAAAAGAGGGTACAGTAGAGAGGAAACCTGAATCAGGAGGTCACAACGGGAAGAAGGATCATCATTTCAACTAAAAACTATTAGAAAAGATCCAACTCAATCCCTAAGACGTTTGGTCTGTGAGAGAGGGGTTTCATTTATGAGAGACTAAAGAGCATTGAAAAAATATTAAAAAATAAAATCGTACGCGAAACCTGTGAACTACTTTGTTACTCCAGGACATAAAGCTAGAAATTTAGAGAGGCGTAGATCATCTTGAATAAGGTGGAAATGACCCTTGAAATAAATATATATATATATATATATATATATATATATATATATATATATATATATATTATTTCAATGTATTTCAATCCTTCATGAGCTTCTGATCATTGCCTATGATTAATTAATGTTG